CCTTTAAAAATAAAATAAAAAAACCCTGAACATCAAGAAAACAAGTAACCCAATTAAAAATGGGGTACAGAACTAATCAGAGACTTGTCAAAAGATGAGACACAAAGGGCTGAGAAACACTTAAACAAATGTTCAACATCCTTAGCCCTCAGGAAAATATAAATTAAAACTACTTTAAAATTTCATCTTACACTAGTCAAAATGGTCAAGCTCAATAAATCAAATGACAGCTCATGCTGGGAGGATATGGAAAGAAGGGAACACTCGTTGCTAGTGGGAGTGCAAACTTGTACAGCCACTATGGAAATCAATGTGACAGTTCCTCAGGAGGCTGGCAGTTAATCTGCCTCAATATTCAGCTACACCACTCTTGGGCATATGCTCATACGAGTCTACATCCTACTACACAAGTACTTGCTCATCCATGTTCGTTTATGGCTGTATTCATAATAGCATTTATAAACAGTCTAGATGTCCATCAAATAATAAACAGGTAATAAAAAGGTGGTACATTTACATAATGGGATATTAGTATGTTATTAAAAGGTCATAAAACAAAACAAAATTAGGAATTTTGCAGGTAAATGGATAGAACAAAACCCAAACCATCTTGCCTAAGGTCAAGATGACTAAGGGCAGCACCCCTGCCCCTGCCAAAAAAAAAAATACTATTTTTATGTTTTCTCTTATATGTGGATGTTAGTTTTTAAATTTTCAAGATGAGTTCTATAATTAGTATGACCATAGAGGTTGGCTGCTGACTGGGCGGGGGTGAGGGGACTAGGGGCAAGGGTGAGGCTATCCCAATGAAGGGGAAATAAAATTTATCATTAAGGAAAGTTGTGGCAGGGGGCAGCAGAGTAGAAGGGTTAAATGGGGAATGGTGTGGAAAAGATCAGTAACAGAGAGACTGTGGGGAGGGACAACGAACGCTAAAGGAAACATGCATGCCGCAGAGAAGATATGAAAGAAGATATCTGTTTCTAAAACAGACAGATATGAAAGAAATATGGAGTCTTCAAATAATGGGGGACATCTTATGTCACCAAGTGAAACCCCTATTGCCATCAATTGTTGAGACACTAACCAGGACTCCAAGAAAATCCCAAACATCTCAGGCTATTGCTTAGGCCATTGGTTGGCCTCCACAAGCTTATGGTAAGACCCTATCACTGAAAACAACACTTAATCGCCTCAGTGAACATAGAGAAGTCAAGCTGGTGCCTAAATAGAGGCTTCACCTATACTAACTAGTACTAACTAGTACTGGTCCATGGTACTAAAAGGTACTCTGCATGCTACCAGAGGAGAAAAGTAATAATCAACCCAGTTACAAACCATGTGACCCACAAGGGTTTGTGAGCTATGCTGGTGTAATAGTGATACAAATGTATCTGTAACGTAATCTCTGATTGGATTTAAGGCCCACTCTGAGGTGGAATTCATACATGAAACAGCTAGGGTGGTTATGGATAGAAGGACCAAATACTGTTGTTCAGCTAAAGGAACATCGCAATCAAATGATTACGCTATACCTACAGATTGGCACCTTGCTTAGCTATCATCAGAGAAGCTGCTTCTTGCAGTAAATGGGAACTAAGAGAGCCCCACAACTGGACATCGGGGAGAGAGTGAGAAATATTAGTGCACACATTCCTAACTAGATGACTCGATCAAACAGTGCTCAGTGCTCAGAGAGCTATCATGAAGAGGAGGCAGAAAGATAGTAAGAGCCAGGGCAAAGGGATGACACCAAAGAAACAAGGTCTTTCAGACACAACAGGACTGAGGCCTATATAGACTCACTGTGACAGCATGCACAAGGCCTGCACAGCTTCGAGCCAGCTGGGGTCCCAGCACTGAGGGGGGAAGTTCACATGGGAATCCACATCAAACCAAGAACTATCTCCAGTTGTTACTTGTTTGCAAAGGATAAGTTAGTCTCCAATGGAGTTTCGCTGGGCATGTAAGCCATGCTGCAGGATAGGTCCCATGCTTAGTAGTAGATATCAACACTAAATAAACTCAGAGCTATTTTTTTGGTGGACGTTGATCTCATATAGCTTTGTTTGGATTTTTTTTTTGTCTCACTGGTCTTTTGCTTGTATGCTTTGGTTTTCAATTTTGTGTTTCTGTGGGTTGTGTGTATGTCTCTTGAGGTTTTGCTTGTTCAGTTTTTTGCTTCGTTTAAGAGAGAAAGAAGGGATGTGGAGCTGGGTGGAGAGGAGGGATCTGGGAGGGACTTAGGAGGAGAGAGAAGTATGTTCAGAATATGTCATATGAAAATTTTTTTCAACAAAAAGGATGAAAGGACAAAAACCTTCTAATGATGAGAGATTGTGGCAACCCTTCAGTTTACTCTTTGGCCTCCAGAACCGATAGAGAACGAATTTTTGTTAAGTCGTCCAGTTTGTGGTAATTCATTTTGGCAGCCCCAGCAAACTTAACAGGGGGTATTAACAAGGAAATTTGCATTGGCTACAAGGCCTAGTCTGTAAAGATCCATAAACTTTAATTCACAAGGCTTAGAAACAACTGTCTAGGCCAGTGAGACGGTTGGGGGTAAAGAGGCTTTCAGGCAACCTGGATAGCCAGCGTCCAATCCCTGAGGTTCACACAGCAGAGGAAGAGAACTGATTCAAACTGATACCTGACCTCCACATGCATGAGCTCGCTCTCGCTCTCTCTCTCTCTCTCTCTCATACGCGCGCGCGCGCACACACACACACACACACACACAATAAATAAAGGTCATACAAAAGTTTAAAAATTGGTCACAGCTTTTAAAATTTCTATTCATCTTATAAAATTTATGATATAGTATAATATATATGGACTTCCCAAGGGTTTTCCTGAATCATCAAGCCCCTAAAATGCCGTTTCTATGGTACAGTCAAATATCTAAAATAAAGGGTGCAGGTGCTCTCAGCCTATCTACACTCGGCTTCTAATCAACTCACTCTTCTACTCCCTTTGTAAATGCTAGGTAGTTAACTCCTATAACTGCCGAATGCTCATGGTTAAGAAATTCCTCTCAGGTGAGTCCATCTGCCAGCTGAACTATACAACCATACCATAAATCATGTTTGTTTTCAAACCTGTTCATGCCAGCTATGCTTGATACTGTGCTTTCATAACTGAATTCAATATTATGCAAACCAATTATATAGTATAGAAATAAAGTTTGTGTTTCTCTGAAGTCTATGTCTAATAATTTCAAAAGATGCAGTAGAGGGTGTGAGATAATTATAAAAACAGTAAGTTTGCGTTCAGAGTGCTCCAAGAGCGCCTTTAAATTATTTTCCTCTTAAAGAAACAGAATACTTGGAAATCCTTCATATTTAGGGGTAGCTTTATGTTTTGTGCAAGAGACGCAATACAGAAAAATAAGTTGTGCATGTGTAAAAAGACTCTGGACTTTCTCAGTTGATTGACAGATGAGCATTTCGCCAGACTAAAATACGTTTACAATAGTATGCTACACTTGCCCACGATTTTCTGGCTTAGCTTTGCTTTCTTTGGAAGAGCTTTACGCAGGTATAACCTACATACCCTAACTTCCATTCCTACAAAGTGCACAGTTCAGTGTTTAATCAGCCTTGTCAATGAATTGCCTATGGGTTCAGCCTGTACCTAGAAGAAGGCTTCCCATATATGCCAATCCTAAGGAAGCTATTCCACGTAGTGAGACAACCAGGCCTCCAGGAAGGTTATGGTTAAGCTTGAAAGGTATTGAGCAACCGGGAGCAGTCATGCTTACAAAAGAGTGCTCAAAGTACAACAAACAGCAAAAGTAAAGAATGCAGTCCTGGGGCCTGTGAAGGAACAACCTTTACTTGGATGGCTTGGGAATAAGGCAGCTCTTCTTCTTATTTTTTTTTCAAAATGAATTATGCATCTGAATCATCTTCAAGATGAAAACAAGAAAGCAGGACAAAGCATGCCCAGGCCTGACTCCTATAGACTCTGATTCAATAAGCAACTGGGGTGTGGGCTACCTACATGAATGTATTTTTTTTTTAAGTTCTACTTGTTCAGATGTGCAACCAGGATCGAGGAGCTCTGGAGCAGTATGAGGCAGGTGTGAGAGGGTTGAGAAACGAGGCTCAGACAGGCCAGATGGTAAAGGAAAGGGCATGCAAATAGACTCTCACAACTTCCCTAACAACTTCACTATTTTCAAAGTCCTGTTTGTGACCCCACGAAAGAATCCCAACTCTCGGCACTGTGCATGACAACAGGGGAAATACTCTGTATCTGCTTTGTAAATAATTTCTTTTTAGATTTCATTTTGCTTGACATGAAACAAGTTCAGGCCAAGGCATGTATGTCTGTGTATGATGTGTATCATCTACCACTCAGACTTCCTACAAGTCCAGTGAAAATACAGATACACCCCCCCCCCAAAGTGGTCACATACTGGAGTGGGTCCTATGTGGGCTGGTTACCTAGGACTCTTAGTCAAGTCGAGGTTGGTGCACTCTTGCAAGACTTTTCTCAACTCCCAGATACCCTAGTCTTCTCATTCAGGAAAAACACCGTCAACATTCACAGGCTCACCAAGGAAGACAAAGGACCCTCTCCTTCCTCCATAGCCTAGTCTACAGAAAATATGCTTTCTCTTACATCCTTATCTGTGTTGAAAGTTGGCTATAATTCCATTTACAACGGTACTTGACTCCCATATTGTAGTTTTAAAATAAATGATATTAAACCCTTGGAGGATAAAGAATACTTGGTTTTGGTCTTAGTATTACTCTAAGAATGAATGCAATCTGTCCTATTAGGGGCATATTTTTTTTAAGGAGCCTAATGAGAAATCGATGTGGTCAACACAAGGTGAGGGGGCAGTCAAGGATGTTGATTCCCCAACGAAAACACAGAATAAGCAGAAAGGGAGGGGAAATGAGAATCGACTCACTTGTTTCTAGAAACTAAAAAACTAAACAACAACCAAAAAAAGTAAAATGTTCCCGACCAGAGTCTCTGGGTCCCCTTACTTGAGCCCGGGATTGGAGGGCGCTAAGAGCTAACGTGACAGGCTGACCACACTGCCGGGTCAGCAGCTCTTCCTGCAGTCCCCGGGGGCCGGGAGGAAGGACGCTCCTTCCGTTCTGCTCGCCTCCCGGAACGCGCACGTCCGCGGCCCGGCTCGCCTCGTCGCCTCGGCGCCCCCGCCTCAGGCGGCCTCCCCCAGGCTCTCGGCGGGCACAGGGCCG